ACACACACACACACACACACACACACACACACGCACGCACGCATGCACGCACGCACACACACAAACACACACACATCCTTTCCCACCCCATCAGGTTAGGCTCCTTTCCTGTAGATTATCACAACACACAATCCATACTCCTTATATAGAACTTATAAAATTATATTGCCATGGTCTTTTAATTTTGTTCATCATTAGACTGTGAATGCTTAAAAGGCATATAATTGGCACTCGATAAAATTGTATTGAATACCATTTGAGGAGGTAAATTGGTGAGCTGTTCTGTGTACAGCTTTGACATACAGGAAGCCTTTCTCAAGCTTGCAGTGTGCTACCTCACATTTGGTTCTAACCTAATAATAGTCTGTTTTATCACTTGCTTTAAAATTATTTATTTTGCCTGTGCCACCCTGTCATTTTTTTTGAGAACACCATGATGTGTTATTCTCATGTTCCATATCTTAAATCCCGTAGTACTAAGTTCATTCACGTTTACGTATTTACTGAGTATTCAAAATACTAATAGCAGTAATGAAAAAAGCACAGGTGCCAATTATTGATCTTTATTTGTTTTAATTTTAGAAAGTAAATGAAGCAGAGAAAACTCAGCGAGAATATTATGAGATGGAGCTAAAAAACCTGCAAAATAGATTGGAAGGGGAGGTGGCACAATTAAACGAGGCCCATTCTAAGACTTTGGAAGAATTGGCCTGGAAGCACCACATGGCAATTGAGACTGTCCACAGTAATGCAACTAGGGATAAGAAAAAGCTGCAAATGGTAAGGAAAAATGCATTTTCGGGTTGCATTATAAATTGGTGGAGTTCCTGCGATGATCCAGTGTGCCCTATCTTGTGGAGTAATGAGTTGCTTCATTTTGATGACTTCCATCTTGTAATCACTCTGTAAATCTCGGTTCAAAGAGTAACCTACATAAAAGCTCTTGATATGGGATGTAGTTTAAGTTGACATGAGGCATTTCTACTGTGTATCAGCCATAATGGAAATACTCCCTTGATCTTGAGCTGTCTCTTCATGAGACAACAACAGAGCTATGCTCCTCAGGAAGCATCAACTAGATGAAGCACTTACTCTCCTCTAGACAGTTTAATTTCCTGGAAAAGGATTGGTTTTGTTTTCTTTTCCCTCAATTAAGTAATCAGCTTGCTAATAGTAGTGCATTAGCAGGCAGTATTGCATAGNTCAATTCCAGACAAAATTTGTCTGTTCTTCTAATATTTTAATATTACTCAGACTCAATATGCTAAAGGACTCTAATATCTTATTAGCTAATCATAAATAAGCAAATGATAACTTGTTTTTAGGAATATATATTTTATAGAAGAATTAAGAGTTAGCAGTTATTAAAGTGCCAGTCACTAAAGTAAAGTAAGTCAGTCACTAAAAGAAAACTGTACTCTAAGAGGCTTTGTCCTTCAAAAAGATGCATTTTATAGTGTTTCAATTAATGGAACTCTATGTAAATTACAGCACCCTCATTTCATTTGGCTTATCACTAAGGATCATTTCACATACTGCAGCTGAGCTGCCCATCCTGATGTGGCTGTCATGCGCATTTCCTAGTCCTTCCTAGAGGATGTGGGTGACCCCCGTGTCAATTCTGAAGTCACATTTTGCCCGAATGTTTAGTGTGCCAGGTGGACCATTTGAACTAGTTCTGTGAGGATGTCCTCTGATTTGATTGGTTCATCAGTGAATCCCAGATTACCCTTTGCCTAAAGTAATAGTTATTCAACTTAGTAGGCATTCTCATACTTAGCATGTATGAGAATCACCAGGAGGGCTTGTGCACCCCACAGATTCTGGGCCCCAGGCTCTGATTCCGGAGATCTGGGACGAGCTTCATTTTGAACTGGAGTTCAGGGGCGCTGCTGGTCCAGGGCACTTTGAGAACTGCTCTGACACGTGCTTTCTGAGATCTTTTTGTCACACTCCCCCTCCCCTCCCCTCTCCCCTCTCCTCTTCCTCCCTTGCCCTCTCCCCCTACATCCCCTCCCCCTTTTTTCTGTTGTCATTTTATTTTTTCATAACCTTGCTGTCCTTATCTGTCTCTTACTCTGCCTTAGTTCTTTATCAGGTCTCTTGTCGAAAACAAATTCAGCTTCAACCAAACTGCTGCCTGCCGTCCTTACCCTGCATACAGATTTCTTTCTCTTTATGTTAGAATTTGAAAGAAGAGATTAGAAAAAACAAATTACTCATTTTGGCGCCACAATCATAGTCAGTGCGTCCCCTCTCACTTTGTTTAATTCCTAAGACTTTTATATGTACCCCTGAGGAGTTGCTTCTACTACAACATGTATAGCTTACAATCTTTAAAAAACAAAAGTGGCGTGGTCCTGGGTGCAGGCGGCAATATCAGTGACATGAAAATGCACTCCTTTCTAATTTAAATGATTGTACTTGGATAACAAGTATTCCCATAGTAAATATTTCCGTTTTATACAGTGAAGAAATCACAGAAATGCTTGTACATCCAGACCATTTGTTTTACTTAGGTATTAAGTACAATTGTGTCATTAAATAAACACTGTTTCATACCTCAGTGTATCAGATTTGAAATTGAAGGGATTTTGTTTTCGGGGAGTAGGTCATATTGGAATGCTTCAAGCAACTCAGATGACCCAGGAGGTTACAATTAAAGATCTAGAATCAGAAAAATCAAGGGCCAACGAGAGATTATCTCAGCTTGAAGAAGAAAGAGCTTTGTTGCAAAGCAAAACCCAGAGTCTGGATGAAGAGCAGAAGCAACAGACTCTGGAACTGGAGAAGGTAAAAAGCAGAGAAGGATACCTGC